GACAAATTTTGTTCAGCGATGAGGCTCATTTCTGGTTGAATGGCTTCGTAAATAAGCAAAATTGCCGCATTTGGAGTGAAGAGCAACCAGAAGCCGTTCAAGAACTGCCCATGCATCCCGAAAAATGCACTGTTTGGTGTGGTTTGTACGCTGGTGGAATCATTGGACCGTATTTTTTCAAAGATGCTGTTGGACGCAACGTTACGGTGAATGGCGATCGCTATCGTTCGATGCTAACAAACTTTTTGTTGCCAAAAATGGAAGAACTGAACTTGGTTGACATGTGGTTTCAACAAGATGGCGCTACATGCCACACAGCTCGCGATTCTATGGCCATTTTGAGGGAAAACTTCGGAGAACAATTCATCTCAAGAAATGGACCGGTAAGTTGGCCACCAAGATCATGCGATTTGACGCCTTTAGACTATTTTTTGTGGGGCTACGTCAAGTCTAAAGTCTACAGAAATAAGCCAGCAACTATTCCAGCTTTGGAAGACAACATTTCCGAAGAAATTCGGGCTATTCCGGCCGAAATGCTCGAAAAAGTTGCCCAAAATTGGACTTTCCGAATGGACCACCTAAGACGCAGCCGCGGTCAACATTTAAATGAAATTATCTTCAAAAAGTAAATGTCATGGACAAATCTAACGTTTCAAATAAAGAACCGATGAGATTTTGCAAATTTTATGCGTTTTTTTTAAAAAAAAAGTTATCAAGCTCTTAAAAAAGCACCCGTTATAATAAAGTGCAAGTTTAAAGTAGCTGGGACTTACCGTTGAACTTGGCATTTTTTTTGTCGACGATGTCAGTCATTTTCTTCCATACAAAGTGTGTTCGACGATTTTTTTATATGGAGAAAATTAGCAACACCTTCATGAAAGAAATCTTAAAAAACTTACTTATATTAAAATTTAATTGCTAAAAAACCGCACACTCAAAATAAATCTAGGAAATCGAATTAAAAAGCTCGAAATTTTTACGAAAGTGTGTTAGTTTTTTTTTAATGTTGCACAAAGTTTGAACCTTGGATTTGTACGGCTTTTCTTAAAATATAAACCGTATTTTTACAAAAAATAATTAAAATTTAATAATATTAAGATAAATGGTCAAATCTTGTCGTAAAGTTTTGATAAGCACTTGAAATGCTATAAAAATGTCAAATTTTAGTACTGAATCCAAAGAAAATGTCTCTTTTATCCATTAATATCAACTTAAATATGCTTTTTGTTAAGATCTATACCTGAAAATGTGTGCATACATATTTGCGTTAAATGCAGTACATGTGCACGTGGTATCAATTTGTAAAAGTGTAAAATACGTAAACGTATGTACATAAACAATAAAACTTTCTCATGAATACCATAAAATCATTGGTCTTGAAGGGAATGTACTAAGAAAATATATGAGCGAATTAAAAAGTGTATACAATTTATAGCCGAAAAGTACATTTTTTGTATAGATTTCGTACTGAAGGAACGATTTCATTTCCCAACACTGATACAGAATGTAAAGAAACACAGGGTTGCAAGGAAAAAAAGTTGAACGAGCTCAAAGTTGGCTGGCGACCAACTTTGTTGAAAGCGATTAGTTGAAAGGCCGTTCGGACGAGGCGATTTTTGCTTTCAACTAAAAGTTGCCTGAAAAATCGCCTCGTGCGAAAGCCCTATAAGCAAAAGCAGATGTCTGTATGGACATTTGTATATTGGTTATGAGACAAACTAAATATGTACATACATTTTATTTTTTATTGAAGTACTAGTGTGGCTGGTGAGATTGAGTCAGTAAGTGGGTGCTTGTTTTTTGCTAACTTTCTACTTGCAGAGCAATAGCGCTGTGCTTTTTAGCAGCTATTCTTTAGTTGTTGAGGTTTAAATTGTGTGCTAAATCCTCATTGGTCATATTTCAGAGACCGCAAAAGTTAAAACTTTCATTAAAAAGATCGCTCTTTAATAGTTACTTTTTTACTTTTATTTAATTACTCCTCAAATAAATAACAGTTATTTTTGATTTTTATTTTATAAATCCAAAATAACAAATGTTTTTGATTATTATCTAAATAATCTGATTTGATTTTTAAATTATGTGTCTTAGATAACTTTTAGATAACAGTTGTCGCAGACTTTTATTATTAAAAGTCATATTTATAAAAAACTCATTTGCATAAGTCGTAGTAAACTTTTGTGTTCTCCAATACCTTATTAACTTGGTTGATTTATACAAGACTTGACATGAAGTCGGTGACTGATTTATATTGATGACTTTTAAAAGTAAAAGTCATTGACTGATTTTTATAAACAAAAGTCTTGGATAACTGTTATCTAAGACATATAATATAAAAATCAAAAATAACTGTTAATTGCAGATTATTTAGATACAAGTCAAAAATGATTGTTATTTTGGATTTATGAAATACAAATCAAAAATAATTGTTATTTTTTTAATTTTGCATAAAAATTCCAAATAAAAATTTATTTTCAAATTAGATTCTCGATGGAAAAAGTAATCGATTCTTATTTACCTATCACTTAGTTGTAGAACATTTCCGTCATTGTACATTTTTCAATGACAGTTTTCATCAATAACTATTATGTTCGTCCCTGACATATTTTTTTATTTACTTTGAAGACCGCATATTGATTTGCGACCCGACAAAAGTATGCTTCATAATTTCGGTTTTCATTTCCAAATCTTTTGCTTAATTTTGCTTTTATATTCTAGAATTTACGTTTTTTTTTTTTTTTTAATTTGCTGCTACATTGAGAAACAAAAAATATTTTTGCCTTGATCTCCAGCCTTTAGGATTCTCTTCATCTGCCCATCAAGGTTCTTGTATGAAACAAAGCCTGCCTTAAGGCAGCTCAAGCTCTCTTTACTTATTCCTGCATTAGAAGTTAATATCGCATATTGATTCCTTATAACTTAGTCACATTTGTAGCAACAAAGTTTCATAGTCAGTTATCTGTGTCACCTGTGCTTCAATCGCTTTCAAATAAAAACAAATTTCACCAACTGCTTCTCGAATTTCATTCCCTCAGGCGTTAATGTTATTCCCTTAAATGAAAGTTTTGACCTAGCTACTATATGCTTGCCCCACTCTTCCTCTCACTGTACTTCACCATAAACCATTTTCCAATTCCTTTTAATATTGCTTGTAGGGAAACATGTTTTCACTGCACTCCTTTCCGTTCCGCTACGTATTTGTTCTCCGATCCACAGGGATTTTTGCGCTTATTACGCGTTGTCCAGGTGAAGATTGTCGCATGCATACAACGTGCCTGCTACTCGCTTGACACTCCTCTCGCCCATGCGATACTTTCATTCATGCTGCTTGCTGCTTGTTGTTGCCACTTTCATTCACGACACATGCTGCCGCATACAAATTTTACTTGATACTCGTAGCAAGCGTAAGTGGGGAACATAAAATCTGCACACTTTACGCTACTTATATTCATATGTATGTATGTACAGGCACACACAGGTGTGCCTGCTCCTGTCTACCCCCCGGGTTGGCATATTTAGTTGACCCCGTGTTTCATTCACTAAAGTGGCTGTGAAAATAATTAAGCCAAATTTCACTTTCACTTTTCAACTTCATTGGGACAGCGACATAAGCAAGTGAAAGCAAGTCTACATTTACAGACATATGTATATACATACAGTGTTGCCGTCGAGAATTTTCAGAAAGTCGAAAAAAGGGGCACCATATTATTCTTGCTTTTCTATCTTCATGCATTATAAAGTCATTTCGCTGCTAGAATATTCCGTTGTCGAATTAAAACAGAAATTAGCGGGACAAGCTTTGCACAAAATACGATTGCAATCATACACAGATATCCTGTTGCTGCAAGGAGAAGAGTTGCATTTGCTTTTAAAGTTTCAAGTGATGCATTTTTCGTACTTACAGGAGGAAATATTATTTTTTAAAGCATTGTTCTGTTTACATTTCGATAAAAAAAAAATCTCTGAAAAGGGGCAAAAGTCGCACATATTTTGGAAAATGGTAAAAAAATCTAAATTTTCAAAAAGCCGGGTCAAAGGGTATTGGCGCCTAAAAGGGGTCAAATTGCCCCTTTAGTCGCACAACGGCAACACTGGTATAATATATACTTACGAGTATATATTTGTGCAAATATGTACATATGTACATTCCTGCATTCACTGAGATGTCTAAGCACCTACTCCTGTCGCTGCTTGTATTACCACTGTCACTTTATTCCTTTTATTCCTCATTTCTACCAACTTTCTTGCATTTGTACCTACTCTTTGTGCTGTTTATCTATCTTTAAGCTTTTTAGTGGGTCACGTCAACGCAATTAAACTTGTAGTTGTTGTAGGTGCTCGTTTAAATTCTGTTTTATTCGCTGTTAAGCCTATTTTTAGGCACGCAAACAATTTTCTTTCAGATTTTCAATTGTCGGGTGGATTAGGTAGTTGGGAACTCCTTAAGTAAGTCAGTAAGATAACACATACTAATGTATATTAACACGTTTATTCTAAAGCGCAAGTTTTAAGCGGCTGCGTTGATTTTTGAGAATTTTTTTTTGTGACGGAAATTTGCACTTTTTTCGATATAAGCATGAATTTATTATGGAGGAAAATGCGCAAGACAGTTTTCACTAAAATTGTACAGGCTGTAAAACTGCGTACTCAAAAAAATTAAAAAAATCAAATTAAAAAATTGATATTTTAATGAAAATTTGTTAAATTTTTCTCAGCTCTGTGTAAAGCTTGAAAGTTAATTTATATGGTTTTGGTTAAAAAAATAACAAATAATTTTTAACTCTAAAAACCTTGCAAATATTTAACAACAATCGCCGTGTGCTCGTTTCTGATGCCCACTGTACTTTTTGCCACCCCGGCTATGACAATAGCCATTTCGGCGAGTTTTGCACAGCGTTAGAATAGGAATGTGTTCGATTTAAAATGCAAAAATATTAACTTAATACAGTATCGTCAATTTTCTTAAAATTATTTTAGCATAGAATTTCCATTTGACTTACCACATCGATTATTTGCATTAAAGTTAAACCAAAACTTAATTGTAATGGATCCGACTCGTTTAAAACCGGACGTTCTAGGGTATTATAAGGATCTAAAAGATCGTGTAGCAGTCTCTTTTCATGATATCCTGCCAGACCAACTGCAAAGAAAAAAGGCAAAAATTAAATAATATAATCATAATATAGAATATACTTATAAATATTTTTATGAAAAATGTATTATAGAGCATCACGTTGACTCAAGTCAATACAAGTCAGGTCACGCCACTGACTCGGAGCGTTTATAAGGCACATTCTCTGCCCTTTGAAGCTTTGTCAGGTGCGGTCGTTGCCCTGAAAACCATATGGTTGCTTAAAATGAATATGTTATCCAATAAGGGAGGTAGACAAGGGCAAGAAGTCAAAAACATGCCCTTTTGCAGGGTTGAGTGTAACATCAAACATATTTTGCACCGTGGAAGGCCGACGTGGGAGAAACGAAATCACCATGAAATTGATAAAACCAACCCATTTCGAAAAAATACTACTGTGGGAGCCACGACTAAAAGAGGTAACACAGCCAAAATACTTGAAATACTTGAGGCATAATTTTGGATAGAAAGCTGACCTGGCTGCGTCTGAATAAAGAATCTAGCGGGATAAAACTGTTCGAACAGGTTCGCGTTGATGGATGTACACCACTTCGTATTCACTAGTTTATGGGACCACTGATTACAAATGTTCCATCAAGTTTCAAAAATCCAATATGGCTGATCCAATATGGCGGACAAATTTTTCAAAATTGATTGACTTTGCTCGAAACTGGTTAGTCTGGTATTTTACATTAAAGCCAACAATTTCAAGTCGGAGCTCAACGAAACTATTTAGTTTTTTAACCAACTTCACAAAAAGGTGAAAGGTTATCAATTTGTCGGAAGATTTTTTTTATGTATGTTACCGCATAACTTTGGACCACGTCAACCGATTTCTATAATTCTTTTTTTCTATGGAAAGGTGTTTCCACACTAGGTGGACACAGGTTACTAAATTTAAGAATTTATGAAATAATTTTTCTATTGCCGGCAATCATTTCCCTTCATACAAAAATTTTACAATAGACACACCGTTACACTTTTAATAGCTAATCGAAATCGCACCAAAAAAAACCGTTTCTCAGCTACAGCTAACTGACTTGCATCGCCCAGCCAACTTTTACATTAATATTTTTTTATTAGTGAAAGAGATCAAAGAACAAAATATGAGTCACAGTTATCTATTGTATTGAGAAGTAAGCCATGCCACTTACCGTTACCGTTCTCTAGAAACATTAAGTACTTAAATTTCTGTACGCTGTAGTGCTATAAGGCTAAATAACTTACTAAAATGGAAACAAACTAGATTCGGTCAGACAAATAGTCTAACTAAGACAAGTTCCCACAGTACATTACACTGCCTATTAATCTTGAAAACGAACTACCCTTAAGTATTCCTTTTAAAACCCATTGGAAAGATCACTGGGTTTTGGGTTTACTTGACAATTCTACAGCCGTTGTGCAAGGATGGCTCAAAACTGAATCTTAAAAAAGAAGCTCTGAGACACCTACATATGTAGTCGATAGTGGCGATAGAAATGCAGGCAAGTCCTTAACAAGTAGCCAACTAAATTTGCCACCCACGCGGTGCAGGTATCAGATGATGCAGATACACAAGGTAATTGCATTGCAGACGAACTTTTGAGGAAGGTAGCCTACTTTGTCTGACGTCAACTCCTCTCTCTATGCGGGCATGCCGAAATCTAGCTGCAAGTCACGCCTTAAATAGGGCTTCTACGAGAACGGAAACAAAGAAGTTCGGTAGGGACCTTATATAGGATAAAGCCGATAAGTCTGGCCCAGCTTCGCCACTAAAAAAAATGCCGATTCCCTAACTCATCTAGAATGCCGTCTAAATTTAAACCCATGGTTTCTTTGGCAAATTTGCTTAGAATTACACGTAGAATATATTTCTGTGCTATACGCGTATAGTCGAACAAATCTCCCATACAAATTGAGCCGCCCTAATGTATATGCATACATATGTATGTACCCCCACCATCCCTCTCAATCTCAATGTGTGCACACAATTTAAGAACAAATTTATTGCATATTTTTGCGATCAGCTCGTTTTCTTCCACATTTCTATTTTAACCGCATCTGGCTATGTCATAAATCAAAATTCAATCAGCTGATTTTGACAATGCGCAGAAAAAATCTGAAAAGGAGAAATTTAGCTGCCTTTGTGCGCTGGAAATGTGGTCATATCTACGCATACATATCTACTCAAAAGACACACGATTTCTGATTGCTACCACAACTAAAAGCAAAAGAGAAGTCAAAAGGCTAATAATACGCCCATAAGTATGCTTGTGTCTGGCAGATGAAATGCCACTACAGCTAACGACTAGCACTTAGCGACGAAGGCTGCAGAAGAATGATGGGGCGTAGAAAATAGTGCGTTGACATATGTATGTATATACATAGGTAAATAGTTCCGAGAAAAAATAATAATAATGCACTTGACGTTTCTACGCGCGCGTGTGTGTGTGTGTGTGCGAGGACAATCGCCTAAGCAGGAAATAATGAGTCTCTAATTTACGATATTGCCAACTCATATAAACAGTAAGAGTGCGAGTTAATAATTTATATTTATTTATGTTTATATAAAAAAAAAAAAAATAAGTGGCTGTATAGGGGGATAAGACCACCAAAGCAAAATAAATACTTAGACCGCATATTAGTGCCATAAATACGTAGCAAAGCAGGATAAGCCGCTAAGGCTGTTAAGCATGAAAAACACGTTTCCAACAGCGGCTAAAGGAACGCGTGTGCAAGTGCGCGTTAACGTATGAAGCTACCCACGAAGATGTTGTTCGCATATCGCAAAAGCTTTCCCTCCTTTCGTGAATATATACTCTAAACTACTTTTGCCGCTCGCATATGTGTGTGTGTACATGTGACATAAATAATAGTTTTTCTGGCCACTTAAAGGCCTTCAATTTATACACACAAGTATCCAATATTTCCGCTCGTAACTATATCCTTTCTATGTATTGGTTGCTTCTCATAAATTGTCAAATGTGCGCATAAATTTCCAAACTTGAACGCTGCAAAGTGTAGTGGAAAAATATTTTGAGAGGGAAATAAATTTTATTTGAAAGCATGTATGTATGTATGTACGTTCCAAACGATATGACTAATACTTGAGCTTAAAGCTTGTTTTTTTTTTCGATGCAAAAATAATGGTAGCCAGCTACTGAAAGTGTAAGGTACATGAGTTTTTAAGGCCAAAGAAGATTTCGATGCAATTGTGAATGAAAAGAAGAAAGGAACAGGGAAAATTTAAGCGCCAGAGCAACTATTACTTAAGCACTGGAAATGCTTTGAGGGAAATGCTAAAGTTGAAGACGTGTAAAAATGTAAAGGGCATGCCTCAATGCAGTGAAAGATATTCTTGATGGAAAATTCCAAGTAGTTCACTGAAATGTACATAGACAATGAAACAAACTCCTCGAATTACTGTTGTGATAACTGCTACGTCTAAAAGAAATTTAACGTGCAATTTCAGTTTGGAAGATACGGCAGTGAACAGATATTTAATCGTATTCTGAGGCATGGGGAGTTATTTGGAATAAGTAACTCTGCCAACCGAGCCCTTTATTTAAAAGCGGTTTGTGAAAAAATTAGGAATTTTCAAAATTATTCAAAAGATTCGGTGCATAGAATAACAATATGGGTAGCAACTAAAAGTAAATTTTATGTGGAATAAAAAAATAATAATTTTTAGGTGCATCAGGACGAATAAGTATTGAAAATGTCCTTTTACAATTTTATCCTTGAATATTCTTGGAAATTTCCAACATTTATTTTTGAAAAAAAATATATGTCAAGGACTAATACTTATGGAAAAAAAATAATATAAAAAATTACACTTCTCTTTATAAGATATATATAGTTACAATATTATGGAACCATGTATGCGCTCTAAAAGAACAAACTGACCGTATGACGTACGGTTTAAATACTTTAATTGTTATGTAAACAAGGGCGTAGCCAGCCTTTCTCTTTTGTGTATAAATAGAAATTTTTGGGTCTCAGAAAGTATAAGTTTTCTGGTATCCTTTACAATGAAACCAATTTTTTAAAAATCGGTTTGTAATTTTATTTTATTTTTATAAAAAAGTTTTTTTTTTGATTTTAAATGTTTTTTCTCAAATTTTTATATACGAAATATACAAATATGCATACCAGAAGAGAAGGAGTTTAATCGACAACGATACCAAAACGATAAAAATCAGTTTGTAATTTTTTATTTTATAATATTTGTTTTTATAAAAAAACGGGTTTTTTCCTTTTAAGTGTTTATTTTCTAAAATTTTTATAAACGAAGTATACAGATATGCATATCAGAAAAAAGAAGTTCTGATTGCGTTTACAACGATATATATTTAAAAGAAAATGGGTTAGTAATCTTCTTGTTAAAAATATTTTTTTTTATAAAAAATAGGTATTTTTTCCTCTTAAGTTTTTTTCTCAAATACAAATTTGCATATCAGAATCACGTTTACAACGATACCAATTTTTTAAAAAGCTGTTCAAAATTGTTTGAAATACATATAAGGTTTTTAATTTTTCGAAGACCCGGCCTTTGACCCCTTATGGCACCTGCAATATAAGTTTGCACAAAAAAAGTTATATACCATTTAAATAAGAGCAAAAGACGGACTATATTTTTTTACCAAAGGTCGAAGACCCATATCTCGATTTCGGAGGTTAACTTCGAAAAACGGAGAAATTACTTTTTTACCTAAAACTCAATCTCTTAAAAAAAAATGGTTTGGTCCAATACCCAGCCAAATGCTTACAGTGTAATGATTCCAGTATCTTCATTTATGTATGTATATTGTAACTATCAATATCTTATAAAGAGAAGTGTAAATTTTTTTTATCTAAAACTAATACAGTTAGAAGGAGGAAGTTCGAGGATGTGGTAGTTAACATATTAGCCCTTGACATATATTTTTTCAGAAATAAATATTCGAAATTTCCAAGGATATTCAAGGATTAAGTTTTAAAAGGATATTTTCAACACTTATTCGTCCTGGTGCACCAACAAATTTTTTTTT